TTAAAGGAAAATCTATACTATTTTCCATAATGGCTGCACCAAACTGCATTCCCATTAACAGTATGGGCAGATCCCCTTTTCTCCACACCCTCTTCAGCATTTATCATTTGTGGACTTGTGAATGATTGCCATTCTGACTGGTGTGAGGTGATACTTCATTGTAGTTTTTATTTGCATTTCTCTGATAATTATCAATATTGAGCATTTTTTCATGTGCCTATTGGCCATTTGTATGTCTTCACTGGAGAAAAAGAAGCAATTTATTTTTCACTAAATGAATGAGCAATCTTACCCTAAAAACAACAGATTCTCAGATTTTTCTGTTTTCCCATTCTCTCCTTCCTCTTTTTAGGAATAGACTTTACTTTTGTTTGTTTGTTTCTGCCTTGTTCCCAACGTCCTTTGGAATAGGGCAATAATAACACACATTTATATAGCATTTACTATGTGCTACACCCTATTCTAAACACTTTATATATGTTAATTCATTTAATCCTCCCAACAAATCCTTGATGTAGGTACCATCATCCCCATTTCACAGTGCACGCTGAGGCAGAAGGAGTTTTTACCCGCTGCTACATTGCACTCCCCCAAGGAGATGTGCTGTATGCTCAGGCTGTGCAGCTATACATGACCGCCCTGGGTCCAAGGAGTTCACAGTTAGGAAGTTATCCTTTCCTCATGCTTCCCTGACTTATCAAGGAGATCTGTTACTATCTTTACTGAGCTAGGAATGTAACAGGGTAAAATCTGAGAAAGCCCTTCTATTTGGAAGGGAAAGATGTACAGGGATAAAGAAAAGCACATATCAATTAAGATGGGTAAACTGAAAAAGAAATGTTCTCCCTTCAAAAGACAGTATTCCTGCGCGTGTGTGTGTGTGTGTGTGTGTGTGTGTGTGTGTGTGTGTGTAAAAGAGGAAGAGAGAGAGAGAGAAAGAAAGATACAGAGAATGCGTAGACACATACCATAAACGCACATACCCAAAAGCAAACCTATGAAAAAGGGCGGTTGCCCAGTCCTTGGATAAATGCCCACCTCTGAGGTGGTTGGGACCCTGCACTGTACAGAATAGTAGGACGAGGTGATCAGACAGCCTTGCAAGGTAACCAGCAAAAGGCAGGTACTGCACTGAGATTGTTACATGTGTTCGAGTCATCCTATCTGAGGTGTTTCTCATGATAAGTTAAATTCTTCCTTTGTGCCTAGAATTACCTCTGTGCTCATTTGAAAAATTTCATGCCTGCCTGGAACGAAACAAGAAAGCCTATTGCTTCAGCATTTGTTGAGTAGCTTTCTGTTCAAGAGTACATTGCTGTGCTCTGGAAATGTCGCTCTGCTGGGTGCCCGTCTGCCCCACAGGGGCTGACCTTTCTTCTCAGCCTGAAGTCCCTACTGAACTGTTCGGGAGAGCTAGTTTATCCAGGGTTGTTGGCAGAGCTCCAGACTCCCTACCTGTCCATCTGGAAAAGTGGTCTGAGAATTGGTATTCTGCCACCCCTTCAGACTTTTACTGGCCACAACTCTGCCCCTCCAAGGTCCTGGTGATGCTTGCATCCAACCAAAAGCAGCGCCTAGCCTTCCTCCCAAAGCCTTACCTGTTGGGCTAGAGGGCTGACAGTCACCCTGGGAGGTCCCATCTCACTGGTTACTATGCTTATGAGTATGCAAAACCCCCCTCAGAAACTTTGAACAAGATAAAAAGTACCACCCATGGCTCCCAAGGACTCTTCATTTTACATCCTCTCCCATTTTTGCATAGTCATAAGCATAATTTAAATTTTTTTGCATAGTTGCAGTTGGTATGCATTCAATTTTGTATCTGCCTCTCAATGTAACATTATGCCAGTCTCCTTTCTTCCACGTCATTATTTAGTTTTTATAAACATCATTTTAATAGTTGTCTTATATTGAATCAAAGTGATCCTTAGGCATTTTTTTCCCCACAGCTTTCCCTGGCTTGTGTGTGATCATCCAAATCTTTCCCTCCTTTCAGGATGCAAGTTATCAAATTAAAAAGGAAAGGAAGGGATTACAAGAAAATCATGTACGTTGCTATGATTAGACATATACTGATTTACCATGAAATATGCATATTTATGGAAATTTGCACGTTGCAGTCTTTTCATACCCCTGCTGCACCTTTAAATGTCACTGGAGACACCACCGCACACGTTTCACTGCTGTTCTAAAACCTCAAGTTTAAATCACATCCTACATGGCAGTTATACAGGATTCTGCTTCCTGAGGCTGACCACAGCCGAATCACAAACATGGATTTGCATAAATTTGGTTTGCTTGAATTTTTAAGTTTGCTGAGAAGGGAAATTGACTAAATATTGTTAGAGCCAAAAATAACTTGGGATATAATTTACTATGGTACCATATGCATTGAGGACACAGATGTATGGACCCACCAAGATATTCCTATGCCAAAAATATATATGTAGACCTATATATAATATATAAGACCTATATTGAAGTCTAAGCAACTTATATGAATGGAGTAATAGAATTAAGTCCTATGACTTCTTCATATTGAAAGGCAATGATAAAAATAAATCATTGTGAATGCATTTTAGAATATATAGTCTTTTGTAAACATTCTAGATTTTTAAATTTTTGCTTGTGTTCCAAAATGCAAAACTCTTACATTAATGCAGATCCAAAGAGTACAGGAAGTTATTTTAGCAGAGCTAAAATACCAGTGAGGATGCTCATATTCAAGTTTCTGGCTTTGCCAATGACTTTCTCCTTGACCTTGAATAAATCTCTAAGCCTCGATGTCCCTATCAGCAAAGTGATAATATTTTCCCTACTTCTATCTCACAAGAATTCTGGAAGAATTTCTTAAAGAAAACAAACAAACAAACAAACAAAAAAATCATCTGAGCTACTCAAGAGGATTACTTCCTGTGAATAAATCCAAAATGGTATCATCTTTAAGGAAGCCACTCACTAAGACCCTGTGGTTATGAATCAATCTCTTGTGTTAAACAGCAATTTTAAGATGAGATCCCCTGTAGAAAAATGAACACATCTAGAACTATTATTTTTAGATCAGTAATACTAGGGAGGGAGGCAAAGTGTGGCTTAATTTTATGAATTTACAAGTGACAGAATTATATTGCATTTCTTTTTTAATAATTCTTTTGATAACTTTCTAATCATAAAGAGAAAAAGTGTATAAGCTTTCATATTTGTTCTTCAACTGTCTTGAAAAGATGACATGATAAATAGATAGTTCTAGAGAAGTAACTTTAGTATTTTTATCACTACTGATTCTCTTTTTTTTAATGAACAAAATTTTTTCCTGGAGAAGCAAAACTTATGCTGAGGCTTCCAAACTTTATTTAGTAGTCAAGTAATTGCATATTCCAAGTAAAAACAATGTATCTGTCCCCCAGACTAGAAAAAGCCCTCTTAGATGAATTTTGTTAACACCCGAGCCTTCTTTAAAATAAAAATGAAAAGCATGCAGAGCTCATTATGAGTCTTTAGCAGAAGAGTCACATAATATCTCCCAAAACAGAGAAACCTGATTAGCATCAACAAAGTGCCAAAGAAAAGGAAAACTTCTCTCCCAAAGTAAGATGACATTTAGAACCTCTTTGTATACCTTTGAAGAGAATCAGACCCTCTACCAATCAACTGTCTTTGGAACAATTATTTCAGAGTATACTGGTATGAAAGAGTAGTAACCACCAGTGAGTTTTTATTATTCTTCCTTCTTTAGAAATCTACTTCTGACATCACAAGTAAGGCCCTCAATCAGCTTCCTCAGAACTTCCTGCCCATCAGTAAGGAAAAAAACAAATCCATAAAAACATATATATGAGGTTTTAAGTTCATGTTGAGGCCAGATCTGGGGACAGGGTACAGAGAAATTTAGTTATGTCAGCTTGGGCAGAGTTCATTTTAAGCATATGCGTAAGCATTGTAGATGAGATTGGTGGATCAAACTTTAATTTCCCAAATGTCCAATTTAGTTTTGTTATGACAGGAGTTGGGGAGGGGTGGGAATAAAGGGAATTAACATTGTTGTGCACCTACTATGTGCCAGACAACAATCTGGGGGGAGGGGGGACCCAAGGCTGAGAAGGGTTGAGAAACTTGGAAAGTGTCACATAACTAGTAAAGCAGCAAAAATGGAATTAAAATAAAGTTTGCCTCAAAAACCCATGCTCTTCCTGCCAACTACCTTCCCACAAGGCATCAAGAAAACTAAACTGCACAACGTTTTGTTTAAAGATACCATCATTAGTTACTGTATATTACTTAGCACCCATGGGAGTTTAAATAAAAGAGTCTTCTTTAAACAGAATTTTTTTAAGTCACAGATAGCAAAGAGAAAGATGGGACTGCGTCAGGGTCAAAACAAAGCTCCTGCTGGACACCTGCTTCAGAACTGCCAGTCCCTACTTAGAGATTATTTGGAAGAAGCCGAGTGCTGAATTATGGAGTTGCTCAGGCAAAGGTTTCTCTGGAAACACAAGAAACAAATAGAAATGAAGAATGTAGTGTCCTGTTTCCTAGTTTGCACACAACTATGCCTTTATTTTACTCATAACTGACCTCAAGATAAATGGGAAAAATGGCTCACTTCACCAGGTTTTCCTCGCGTTCTTGGCACCAAAGCGCCTATATTCATGACAGATTTTTTTTTTTACTGAAAGTTAACTCTTGAGCTTGTTCTTGTAGAACTTAAACAATAAAGCTATCCAAGGCAGGTACAAGGAACAAAAAAAGAAGTGTCTTCAGATCTTAAGAAGCAGCAAATTTCCTCAATAGCCAGGTGAGATTACCCCTCGTATCTCTTCTAGGACCTATGGAATGAACACTGTTGGGAAACACAAAAGCCTTTTTTAATTTCATAGTTTTTCCAGAAGATTAAGGTAGATAAAGGGGGTTACCTGTGCAAAATATTTTACCATTGGGGATATTTTGAGTCCCTTGCCCACTTTTAGCTATAATCATGCTAACAGAATTTATACTGGCATTAAAAAAATGCTTGCAACATATTAAGCAAAACACAAATGCAAGATAAAAATTTGGAAAGATCCAACTGTGTTAAAACATGCTTAGCAAAAAAGACTCTATGGAAACATTCTAATTTATTAAAGGTGATTATCTCTGGATGCTGGAATAATAAGTGATTTTTAAACTACTTGTCTGTCCTTTCCAGGTCTGTATTTGGTAATTCATTAATTCTCCCAAAAACAATTTTTAAAAATAAAATACAACCAAACTGACTAAAAGTAAAAAAACGAGAAAGCTATGTATAACTAATCAAGCTGAAATAGTGTTCTTCCAAACATCAGCTATCAATAAAGCCATGTGTTTCCTCTAAATAGAAGAGATATAATGGAATTAGAAGCAAAAAAGCTAGTGGTAGGATCTGCTTACTGTTTGTGTGGCCTTTAAATATTATTAAAGTCTCTTGCCATGAATCTAGATATACTGATTGCTTGTGTTTAAAATCAACATTAGCAAAAATGTTTCTTAAAAACTTCTTAGTTGCCAGTTTGTATAATTGTGTTAAAAGTGCATTTTAACAATGAGCATTAATAGCTTTAGTGGCTGCAGATTAATAAAAGAGTCCTGTGCTTCCATAGAGGGAACATCTGAAGTAGGCATTCCTTTTGTTTGGTATTTTGTTTTATCAGCAGCTGGTGGGGCTGGGGGATGAGAGAGAAGGTGAGAAATGTAGCCTGCACCTACCCAGCTTTAAGAGTGGTAGCATCATTTATAATTTCCCAGGATTGAATTGGTAACTCCTGCAGGGAGGAAATTTCGCTGAGCTCTGATTCTCTCCTGGGCTCCGCACACCTAATTGTATTTCTCCCATACTGCGTTCCTGTTTGTCTCCTCATTCATCTTCTCTGGTGAGATGACAACTCTGTCAGCACCCATTTCCAAATTCTAATTTTCCTCCTCATAACTTCTCACCTTACCGACCACAAACAGGAGAGAGGGAACCCAGCTGTTTTTAGCAGATGCTTTAGAAAAAGACCAAACAGAAGCTAAAATCCTGCAGGAAGGAAGACAGTTAGCTAAATAAGGATTGCATCAGGGTTCTGTCTGCCTCTTCCTTTGTGAAGTTTGATGGTTTAATAACTTTAGGAGGTGTCAGTGTCTCAGATGCAAAGACCATCATGAAAAAGTGGACTGAACTTCCAGGTCCCTTGCTCTGAAATATAAATGCATAAAATGAACTTATAATTATGAAAAGTTGAATACATTTCTATTTATTCCTGGATGTTAATGCTTCTAATTCAGAAAAAGCATCTGATTAATAACAGAGTTCTAAATAATAGATCTGATCCCTGTACTTAGCATTTAGTTTTTCTTTCCTCAAAAAAAAAAACAAAAACAAAAAAACTCTGGATTATAACATGTAAAATATAGTTATTGTGAAAAATTGGGAAACTACAGGCAAAGAATGCTGTTTACTTAATATCAGTATTCTATATTTTTTCTGATTTGTTTCAGAGAATCAAGCAACTGAATAGAATAAGTGTTTCAACAAACCTGGGTTTTAATCATGACTTGGCCACTTTCTGGCTGTGATTATGGACAAGTTTCTTCACCTCCCTAAAAGTTTTCTTTGAATGAGAATAGTCATGCCTGCCTCATGTAGTTGGCATGAGAGTTAGAAATAGTGTATCCTTGGCACGTGATAGGTGATCAATTAATGTCACATATAATAATATAACTACTAATAACTACTAATCACCTTTTAAGTTTAAGACTTTAAACATTTTTAAATGCCTGGGAATTTCAACCCCATTTCTAATAGACAAATATACCTAGTGCATGGATCTGAGGAAGACACTACCAGTTTGTCAAATGAGTGCACTTTCTCGATGCCTCAGTAAGGGATTTGCCACGTCTGACCTGCTCCTTAGTTTGTGAGAGCTCCCACCCAATAGAAAATCCCCAAAGGAGGAGGTCCATTTCTCAAATACCATGAAACCCCACACAGCCAGGAGCTGCTCAATGCATACCCTCTGCTGCTGACACTGGCCCACAGAAATAATAATTCATGTCAGATATTGCTCATTCATCCTTCTCTTTCTGTCAGTGCAAAAATCCTTGTATATCCCAGCTCTGTTTCACACAGTTTAGAAGTGGCCCCTGGTGTCCAGGAGAGCCTGAATTGGCAAAAGCTGCCTCCACTAATTGGAAAGTCTTTCTGGTGCTGTGTACTGTGTTGGTGGGAAAGCCTCCAGCTCCTGGGTTCTTAATCAGAGCTGCACACTGACACAGTCTGAGGCCTTTTTTAAAAAAAAAGACTGATGCTTGGGTCCCACCTACAGGATTTCTGACTTAATTGGTCTGGAGTTGGGCTCAGCTCTGGCTCACCTCACCCTGGGCTTCTGCCTTTTCAGTAGCCATTGAAACCCTGTTACTGACCCTGCTCGGAGTAGTTAAGAGTCCATGTGTGCTTTGGGAACTGGTTGTTTTATCTTCTTCTTACTTCTATTCCAACATAGTTCCTCACCCAACTTTTTCATCTCTAATATTTCTTTCTTCAGTCTCCATGTTGGACCTGTAAACAAGGAATTTCTGTGGGAAGATTAAGAGCTGTTGTCCAGTGAATTTGTATTTCCTAAGTCCCTGCCTGTGCCCAGCACTGTTCTAGGCACTATTTCATTTAATCTTCACAGCAATCTTGCAAAGCAGGTGAGAGCAGCCTGTCTACTAGTGAGGAAACTGTGATTCATGGGGGCTAGTCCACTTACCCTGTATCATACAGCCAGGAAGAGCCTGGATTCAAGTTCAGATCATTGTGATTTCAAAACACTTCTTCTTTGTGCTCACCCTGCACCATAAAATCAGAGGTAGGGGAGATGACACTTCTTCTTTGTGCTCACCCTGCACCATAAAATCAGAGGTAGGGGAGATGGTAGGCCGTTTAAAAGAGTGAAGCTGTGTGTAATGCAGTAGGGGCAGGTGAGGACTGTGGCAAACTAGAAATGGATGCCCCAGTGAGAACATTCAGATGCAGAATTTTTCAAACATTGCAGGTTAACAAGACACACTGAATTTGGCTTGTGGGCTACCAGCTTTTCAGGTTTTTTTCTCTTTTCCAACTTTGAAAAATACCATAGTCATGCAATTTCACTCTGCAACCACATAGAAGATGCAGAAGACTATACTGTGTGGCCTTGAGTGGGATAACTGAGATGAATGAGTGACAGAGGAAGGAGGAGGATTCTGATCTGGTATGTTTAATAGACCTTGCCATCAGAGCTGCCCAGCAGAGGAACTCTGCACCAGAAGAACAGGGTGCTGAGCAGAGAGAATGCTGCAGCACTCCTAAAGACAAGCTCCTCCCCAGGGACAGAAGGTACTGTTCTGTTAAACATTTACTGAGCCTTTAGTATGTGCCATGCACTGTGCTGGGCACTGTGGGAACTGTCGAGATGCAGGACCCTGGTGGAGGAGGCTGCAGTCCTCACTAGCCTGGTGTCACATTAGCAGGTTTATATACATTTGTTCTTTAACTTTTGTCATAACCTTGAGAAGTAGTGCCATTAACCCCAATCAAAAGGTGAGGATATTGAGACTTAGCAAGATTGAGATACTTGTTCAAGGGCACAAGAGAGTGAATGATAGAGAGAGGACTTTAACTGAAATTAAAAGTCTGTGCTTTTAATGACTGTGCCAAATATCCTCCCTCAGTGGGGACGCCAGCTTGGAATCCTGAGTCATCACACAGGAAATCTTTCCCAGCCCTGGTGTCCCAGAGCTCCAGCATTAGCCCGCTGCACACTGGCCAAACCACAACAAGAAAAAGCAAAGCAACCTAAGAACTCCCATCCACCAGCCCCCCCCTGGTTCCTGGGGTTGTGATACAAGGACAGCAGTTAACTTGTTCCCATCCAGTCAAATACTAAGGAAGCCAGTTGCAAATTGTCTTAAGTTTTTCACTCTGTCATTTCTAAAGCAGAAAATAAGGTAGGAGATGTTCTGAGTGCAAGCACTGCACACCTTTTCTCATTTCAAATGTGACTTTGAGGTCAGCATTACAGTAAAATACCAAGAAACAAACATATTGAGGGGCAGTCTTGCATTGTGAAGAGGACATAGAGGGAGAGCTTATGAGATATGAGTTTAAGTCCTGATCCTACCACTTACTAGTTTGTAATCTTGCATTTCCCTTCATTTCAGTGGGTTCTTGTTTCTGCATGTATAGAAATGGGGCTTGCAGATTGTTATGAGTGTGTCACAGGTGCTCAATAAGTTTGTGTTCCTTTCTTGAAAAATAGCAGAAAAATTGCTAACTGTGCCTTAAAATTGGCATAAGTTGAAATCTTTCAAGATTTACAAGAATTGGCTTATAAACTCAATATACCAGTCTAACATGGGATATGATCATTTGAAGAGCATAATTAACTAAACTAGAGGAAGGGGAAGGGAAGAGGAAGGGCAACTGACACTGATTAAGCCCCTGGCACAGGCCAGGCCGTGCTAGATCTTTCAGGCATTTCATCTAACCCACACAGCAGCACTGTAAGATGAGCAGTGGTACCCTCATTCTCACAAATGATGACCCCTCAGACTGAGAGGCTAAGGAAACTGCCTGAGTATTCAAGATTAGATTTGAACTCAGGTTCCCAGACTGCTCCAGCTCTTCTAGCAGGGACCAGAGTCTTTTGATTCTTGTTGAATAAAAGTTTCTTCTTAGGAGGCTGAGTTGAGTACAAACATCGCATCTCCCATGCATCTCTGAAGGCAGCAATCTGCTGTTGTCCAAGTTAATAGTTGCTCTTCCAACAGGAACTGGTGTGGACTTATATTTCTAAAATTTCTGGTGTATTCTCTCTACTCTATAAAATTTGGAATAACTCCTGATGAAAGATATTGATATTATGACTTATTTTTACATGGAAAAGTAGGCTGTACGTTCATAAGTGTGCATTCATAACTGTAATTTGAGTGGCTTACATTTACAAGTTTTTCAATCATTATAGTTTTGGGGGGAGGACGTATTCTTCTGGGAAGTTTATTGAGAGTCCCACTGAAATTAAGCCTCTCTTGCGCTAAATATATGAGTTACCCAGTTTTACCAGAAGGCCTTATCTGGTCCTGTTTCTTTCTGCTTTGCCCAGGGAATTTGAATAGTTGATGTAGAAAGGAGAAAGGAGTTGGAGATCTAGAATTGGTAGAATTAAGCATTGTGTTGAGAATTGTGACTGAGCCCTTCAAGAGACCTTTGTCTGACTTAAGCATCTAAGAATTCAAGCCTTGTTTTTCCTTCTCATCCATAATGACAGCAGTGGGCCACAGATGTCACATGCTTTGCATGCACCACCTCATCTGTCTTTTTGGGATTCTTCACATGGTGGAAGAATCATCACTCACAGAATTCAGATTGCATTCCGCTTCCCAGAGAATTAGCTTTCAGTGGGCAGAAACTGAGTTTCTATGTCTAAACACTACAGCAAAGAATTTGACTAATTGAACATGAGTTTCTGTTCTCCTCACAATAATTTACTGCAGGCTAATTGTTACACATTTAAATACTTTGAATAAATGAATTAAAAGCCAGTTTTCATCTTTGTTCATCCGATTCATTAGGTGATTTCATTTTAGGATATGAGGAAGTAGATGTGATTCATTGTGCAACAAATGAACAATTCACTCATTTATGTAAGGAGTAAGTATTGGCTTGGCTATCTCTGTGCTAAAAGATGGGATGATTTGTTTCCCCTCCCCACTGCCAAGGTGACCACTGGGCATACGGTCAGTGGCCACACAACACAAATGCTGATGGTGGAGCTAACTTAATACAAAGATATTGCTTTGTATTCAGGGTCACCTTCATGCGCCATAAATAGAAAATTAAGTATGGTCCTAAAAGTAAATACAGTAAGAAAAAAAACCTCTTTCATAGTGCTTTATTTTTGCAAGTGCTTTGGTATGTGTTCTACACTTTGATTGTTACACAACAACCCTGGATGTCAGTATTATTATTATCCCCATTTGACAGGTGAGAAAAGTAAAGTTCAGGGGACATTAGTGCATTGTTCAGAGATACCCAGCTTGTAACTAATAGAGACAGACTTGGAACCCAGGCCTCCTGATGCCAAAATGTTATGCTCTTTCCATTATAGCTGCTGTAATTAACATAAACGGGCAGAATGGGGAGAAAAAGAAAAGGTCGACCTAACGCTGTGTCTTTTGGCTGTTCTAGCTCCTATCACAGGAGGCAGCCTGCCTCCAGGGGCTAAAACAGGGTGTGGTGTGTGGGAGGCTAGGCTGGGAGATGAGCCTTGTCCCTGCCCGTCATCCTCAATGTGGGCACCAGGGAAAGCAGGAGCTTGGGGAAACCATCCGTCTCCTGGGCCTGAGTAGGGAGGGGGAACCTGGGTGCAGCATGAGGCAGGTGAGGACAAGGAGATTCCCAGGGGAGGGGATTTCACCACTCTGAGGTGAGAGCTGAGGGCTTTGGGCACAGGCAAAGAGGCGGCAGTCAGAGGCTCCAGGCGCTCCGATGATCGCTGCGACCCCGACCCCGACCCCGACCCTGAGTACTGTCTTTGCTCTCGCTCCCGGACACATCCCTCTCCCAAGCAGCCTGCTGTGCGCTGCCCTGGGAGCGGCCCTCCTCCGGCTCCAGCGCGGCGGGCTCTAAATGGGCCGAACCTCTGAAGTATCCGCCTCAGAAAGGAGTCCTGGGAGGGAAAATGGGGCTCTTGTTTGTTTGGAGCTACATAAAAGGCTGTTACAATTATTTTCAGTCCGGCAGCCACTTTCTGGGAGGATTCCGTATGGTAATAGATGTATTTACCACAACTGGTTTTTCTCCCAGTTGTGAAAAGCGGGGTGAACCTTAGACCCTCTTCCTCCTGTCAACCTTCTTTCTGAAATAACTGATTAATAACCTTGTTACTTCCGAAGGGAGGGATTCCTAATCCTGTAACTAGTGTGAGCTGTATCAGAAAGCTTTGGGTGGGTTGGTGGGTTGATTGGTTGACTGAATTTTTGTAGTTCTCCTGACTCCCCCCTCTTCCCTACCGGATGAATCAGTGTTGTAGCAAAGGCTTTAGCACCACACAGACCAGGGTTCAAATCCCAGCTTTGCTGTTGATTATCTGTGATTTGTGAGCCAGTAACTCTCCGATCATCAATGATCTCATCTGTAAAATGGTAGAAATGCTACCAACCCGACAGAGGTGTAAAAATCACATGAATACTGCAGTTAAATGCTTACCATAAAGTTATACTCAGTGAAATAAGCCAGACACAGAAGGACAAACGTTGTATGTTTCCACGTATAGGAAGAATCTAGAGCAGTCAAGTCCACAGAGACGGAAAGAATGGTGGTTGCCAGGCACTTGGCGGGGAGGGGACGCAGGTTAGTGTTTAATGGGTACAGAGTTTTAGTTGGGGAAGATGACAGAGTTGTGGAGAGAGACAGTGGTGATGGCTGCACAACAGTTTGAATATACTTGATGCCACTGAGCTGTACACTTAAAAATGGCTGAAATGGCAAGTGCTGCCCTATGTTATGTATATTTTACCGCAATAAAATAAACCCGTCTTTAATGTTTACAGTGCCACTTGGCCAACAATAAGTAATAAAGGGCACTTTTGATCCTGTGTCCCAGTCTTGGCACACTTCTATCAGATGTCATTTTTCACACTGTATTTTATCCTCTGTGTCTGTCATGACTTCCGTCTCCCAGAGTGTGAGGACTGTTGATTATCTCTTCTTCATCCATCCCATCTCCATAGCGTCTGGCACCTAGTAAGCACTCAGTAAATGATCTGGGGGAAGAGAGAAGGTTATTAATACTCTTCCCCTTTCATCTTTTACATCTTAGAGCCTCTAAACACAGCGGTACTAAGTCACTTATTTCTCTTGGGCGCTAGAATATCGTTATTTGTACCAAAATAATGAGCTCACACTACTGTACAAATGTATTAGTTTCTTTAATCTTCAATAAATGTGGGAGAAATTTCTCTAAATTAAGTCTCTGAGGATTGACTCCATGCCATTCTTAAGGAGTTCTAGTTTGCTCTAAAAATATAGAGGGAATAAAAATGGAGTGTAAACGTTGCTGTTCCTTTAGAAGGAAATGAATCCTATATAGAGAGCATCTTACCTGCATGGAACTGGAGCCCCGCACAGTCCAATCTAGTGTCATTTCAAAGAAACGGCAGTCAGATGCCGTAGCTTTGAAGAATCCTGCAGAGCATTAATGAAGTTTCCTGACAGTGGTGACTGGGGCGGGGGGTTGGGGGTGGGGACTCACAACACCTCACACAGAAAATCTCTCAACAGTGTATCTCTTTGCATCTCCTTAAACCTCCCCATTCACAGGAATTACTAAAATCAATCTCCAACTTCTCTCCCTCTCTCTTCCCCCTCCCTTCCTGCCCTTCCCTCTCCTCCCTACTCTGTTCTCATCCATCTCTGCCAACCCTCACCCAAAGTCCAGGCTCCTTGGACTTGACTGTCCCCTCTGTACACACTCCCTGGGAGGCATGGCCAAGTCCCCAGCTCTGACTGGTACCCAGCCAGAATCGGCACATTTTCATCCCCCTCCCTGAAACTCTGGTGAATAAAATTAAAATTCTGCACCTTGTGAAACGCTGAGGAGTCCCAATGCCAAGCATTTTGGGGCTGTACTGCGGGAGACCCATTTGGCTGTGATTATACCAGTTCCATCTTTTTTTTTTTGCCCACCCTCATTTTACAGGACAAGAAATCAGTACTAAATCACATCAGTTCGTTCTTTCTCTGGGTAAGTGCTTTCCAGCTTTTTTCAGCTGTGCACCCTCAGACCCTACTCTTCTCAGGCCCTCTCCAAGGAAACATGACTGGTCACAGCCCTGCCTGGTCACTCGTGGGGATCAGGGCAGCTCCTGGCCCAGCTGTAACCTCCACATGACTCATGTACATGTTAGGTGGGATGCTCTGCTCTGGACAATAAGAGAAGTCTAGGTGTGTGAATTGTCAATTCATTGGACCTCTCTGCACTTGTATAAATGAGGGGCCTAACTGGGTTGTATGTTCTGAAGTCTCCCCCAGGCCTAAAAGTCTACGTGTCTGTGGTTAACACAGAAAGCCACCTGTACTCAAAGCTAAGATTCAGCCTCTGCTTTCTTCAGGCTTCCTTTGAAGCTTTATTTCCCCAAGACCAAAATATTTTATTCACCCTCTTCGGAACCCTCTAGAAGTCTTTAGTTTAAGGCTTCAAAAATGACCATCCACACAGATTACCAAGACCCCCCCCCACCCACACACACACAGTTTCTGATTCAGTAGATAATTTGCATTTCTAACAAGCTCTTGAGTGACTGGAAGGTTTCTGGTCTGGGGACCACACATTGAGAACCACTGGACTAAGAATTTCAAGAAGCCTTTACTGACACTTTCTAGTGAGAGCTATTAATCCTGTTTTTCAGGACTGTTCACTCCTGTTTTATGTGGTTTTTGGGTTTTTTTTTTTAGTATGTTTATTTCAAAGGATGCCTACTCAATCAAAAGTTACTGTCCTAGAACCTTTACCCTCATAAAAAGAAGTCCGTGTAGGAAACTTAATTTTCAGGACAAAGAAACTGAAGTGTAATTCTTAGGTGGATTTCCCAGCGGGATGCAGATGGCACCAGGTCCTGTGGCAGACTTCCAAGAGCGCAAAACCATCTTTTCCCCAGTTCATGAGCCATTCACTAGACTAGGCTGTCCTTTCCGGGCTCATGTTTTATGATCCCTGTGAATAAAACACTTCTGACAATTACTGCATCAGAACTTAACCTCTAATACAATAGGTGACTGTACGCTGAACTCAGAGGAGATTTAAGACTGGAGTCTAATGGCTGAAGACAGGCCAACACCAGTCTCATATCCTGTGGGAAGCAGCAATAGCAGGTCCTGGAGCATTTAGAAGATGCAGCACCCCTGCAAGTCAGCTTCTGAAATGGAATGATGACCCCCAAGCATTTGAAACACTCCAAGAGAGGCTGCCTCTCCACCTGCATCCCCTCCTTGATGCATATCTGCTTTGAAAGTTCCTTTTCCTCTTTTCATTATGTTGCTCCATGATATTTTCCCCTTCAACTCTTATTTTGTGTGGTTGTGTTAATGAACCTTATGACGCCAGTCCCAGTGGATGCTGAGAGTTTTATTAAACACACTATTTCCCTTACGCACCAGAGTGTTAAATGATGGTTCTGAGGTTTGAATTCATCGTGCTGATCTAATCATACCAGGCGACGCTTGTTGAATCTCCAGAGTAACTGGATTTGAAGGCCTTTTGTGCAGAGGCGCAATTTTGAAGGGACTGGCAGATTAAATATCATCTAACATCTCATCTGTCCAAGTTAGCAATGGGCAGGGTGCATCTGGCATCTGTCTTCCATTGAGCCTAATGGAAAAAGGGGTGCTCAGCCAGCCCACAGTTAACTGGGTGAAAGGAGGGGTTTCTGGCCTGGATGTCATGAGTAGTGTCATCTCTGTGGAGCTTGGCTGGAGAGGGGTCACCCCCATGTTGTGTATTCACCTCTGCAGAGTTCGTCTTAAAGACACTTACCTCTTCAGAGTCAATCGTCATGATGTTTAGTAAGCCTTCAGGTGCCATCATTATGAGGTGGTAGTTAGGAGTGGGAATGGTGGTGGCGAAAGTGATGCTGGAGTTGGTAGAGGTACAGGGGTAGCGTGGTGATGGGAGGTGGCGGAAACAGGAGAAGTGGTGGATGTGGTGGAGGTGGAGGTGGGAGCAGAGGTGGGGCCTGCCACTCTGCTTGGACTAGGTCAAAAGGACCAAGCAATGTCAGAACTGATAGTTATCACCCTACTTTCAGATGAAGAAACTGAAGCTCAGAGAGGAGACAGAGTTATCATTTTCCACAAGAGAAGCCTTATCTTCCTGCATTCTTCCTGTTCCAAATGCACCAGACTTGGTGAATGTTGGATGCCCCTGAGAAATTACAGCAACACCCCTGAGCTAAGATTCCAAGATTACTAAATCCTTAGAAACAGGTATTTAGAAACACTGAGGACACCCTGCTTCTCCCAAGCCAAAGAGCTGATCTGATTTCCACCACATCTGGTTACATATGTCTTATATCCAGTGCAAGGGCAACCCCAAAGCCAAGATTCTGTGCAGCTGAGGCTTGCAGCTAGAACGGGTGAACACATCAGGTTTTCCTGGAGAGAATAAAATCAAGGTGATTGATTATCATCTGAGGGTTACATGAAAGGAAGTCAGGGTTGAAAGGCTGAAAGTGAATTTGTAGGCAAAACTGTTTGCCATGCTTAACAAATGCTATCTGATTTTTTTAACTTTATTCATTTATGTACTTATTTTACAACATCATATTTTTTAAATTGAAGTATAGTTGATGTATAATATTATATGTTACACGTATACAATATAGTGATTCACAATTTTTAAAGGTTATACTCCATTTACAGTTATCACAAAATATTGGCTATAGAGAAGGAACTTGTCTTTCCCAGTGGGGAGAGGGTAGGGGGTTGGGCAAGACGGAGGTGCAGAATTAAAAGATACAAACTATCAGGTATAGAATAAGCTACAAGGATATATTGCACAACATTGGGAATATAGCCAATATTTGACTTTTTAAATAAACTTTCTTTTTTAGAATAGTTTTAGGTTTACAGAAAAGTACAAAGGTTAAACAAAGGGTCCCCACAAACCCTGCGTTCAGGTTCCCCTGTGGTTAGCATCTTAGGTTAGTATCATACATTTGCCACAACTAATGAATCAATGTTGGTTCTTTGGTGCGTTAATATTAACTAGACTCCATACTTTAATTGTATTTGATTAGCATTTCTCTAACTATAAAACAATATGAACTTTGTACTATTGCAAGATGGTTAACGCTGTCACACAAGATTACTTGGAGCTCCTGAGGATAGGCTCTGCTTTATACATTTGTTTATGTTTCTTTTAGCACCTGGGATCTGTTAGGGATACAATAAACGTGTGTTGACTGCTTACATAACTGCAACATCCCACTGATGCCATTTTAGCACTCAATGAGGCACCAGCCTCACTCAGTCCAGAGATAGTGCTAAATACATGGAACATAACTGAGTAACTAGGGAAACACAGTCATGCAAGCTGTTAAGTGTATTCCCCTTACTTTTATTTTCAGAAAGCCCAGCCCAGCACACATCTCAGTGCTGAAGACGGTGCTTATAGCTTATAGGAGTGAGGGTTAAGCCCTTCCTGGCGATCTGAGATAGTACAAGAGAGAAAGCCTGGAAAGTCAAGAAGTGTATAAATCCCTGCTCACCCTGACCCTTCTTCTTGATGACCAGGCTCATGGGGAGGCACGTGAAATCCTATCCCTTCTCCTGTCAAGGGCACCTACACAAACTGTGCCCTGCCCTCCTAGCAAAGACCTAATTCCTTAGTAGTCAAAGTTCCTTTGCAAATTGAAGGTGTTCCGGAAAATTAACAGAGCAAAATTAGGTTACCTAGAAGGGACAAAAAGGGAGAAATCATTAGATGCAAAGCTTGAATAAGAAACTAAAAGTAGCTCCTTTTGATTCAATAATAATAGTTACCATTTTCTAAGTGCCACATGTTCTACGAGGTTTACTAACTCACTTTATCCTTCAGGAACCCAGGAGGCAGGTTCTCTCCTACACAGATGAAAGCTTCTTCCTCTCCCTCCTACTCCACCTTCATCCTGTAAGATGGTGAAGTACTTCACCAGTGTATAAACCTGACTCCAGAACCCTGAAAATAATGGCAGGAGGGAAATACCAGCAATCAGGAATTATTCGGCCCAGTCCTCCTCACTACCCTATCCCATCTCCTCATTTCTTTTTTCTTTCTTTCTGTCTCTGTCTCTCTCTTATGCGTGCACACACACACACACACACAGTAGAAGGTAGGCTACCATGATAGCTTTCAAAATAATTCGTACTGCCTGCCTTACACTCTAATAGGGACAGAATAAGTAGGTTAACTTTAAAACAAATGAAAGATGTATTTATTCTCATTAAAGTACTATATGATCGTGGTAAGAAAATAAACAAGAAAAAGTACACACAGGTGTAAAGAATGCTAAAATGACCCATAAGCACATCGCAAAGACAGCTATTACCATTATTATGTTGTAGTTTCTCCAAATCTTTTTTCCCGTGCAGATACGGTTTTCCTTGATTGAAATCACCCGCATATACACTTTGAGTCTCCTTATTTCACATGACATTGCACATTATCATTTTCCCGTGTTATTATAAATTCTTCAAAAATACTTTCTGTGGTTACAGTTGTATATCTCATATTGTAAGCTGGGGCTGATGTAAGGCTTCTTACCTCAGTTGCTCCCTTGGTTCCTCTGATTTCACATACACAACATTTTTTTAAAAATAATTCTCCCACAATAACAAAATCATACAGGGCTTTTCATAAGCTTGGTTTTTCTTCTGGGTTTGATTCCTGGCCAGATTACTTCTGCCAAAATCTGATCCTTTGCTATCCAAAATGCTTTAAAATTGACAACTGGCCGTTTGTAACCGGGGAAGCACACAAACACAATGACTTTGTGCCATCAAAAAAACAATGTTTTTAAAAGTACATTAGTTCAATCAAATGTACATCAGACACACAATGAGGCTACTAGTATTGAGCTCTTTCATGTACTCAGCAAAAACCCACACAACCACGGTAATAAATGATCTATGGAATACAAACTGATGTTAGATTCATAATAATATTTTTATCAAATAAATTTTTTATTTGCTCCATGTTGTGTTAGTGAGAAAACAGTGGAGAAAATATAGACTTTGAAGTCAGGTGTAAATGAATTCCAATTCCAGATCTGCCATTTAGTAGTTTCATTCTTACTAGACAAGTTGTTTATCCCCGGAGACTCAGAGACCTCATCCCCTGAGTAAGGATCACAGAGCCCGTCTCATTGTGCCATCTGTGCTCAGGAGTAACTGAGACACTTTGTGTGAGGATTCTTACCAGTGCATGGGAGATAAGGGAGGCTTCAAAAATGCTCATTCTCACTGCCCTTCCTTCTAGCTAAATAGCTCAGTTTACCCAACAGACATTTAGCTTAATTCCTGCTTCAGTATACACATCCGTTCCAATCTTCCTCCTGTGTATACATAGATCCTGCCATATCTGCTTGCACAGAAGCATGTTATATGTAGGTGCAAATTTTACTCTATGCAGGTACATATATGGTAGTGGCTATTCATATACACAAATGGTATGCCAACCTGCTCAGTCTGGAGAGGCCTGGTGCAGCCTG